GACTATGAATAGGGGGAAAGAGTGTTAATTTATACAGACTGTTTGTAGAGCGCTATCAATAGGGGGAGAGACCTGGTGCAGAGGGTGTTTATTTTACACAGACTGCTTGCAAAGCTCAGTGGTGACCATTTCAAAAGGAGCCATGACTACATGAAAAGGACAAAAAAATTCTGTGTTCTTCTACAGCAACTGAATATACCTGCTTCATGTATACTCGCTGTACATTGCTGGGATATGTAAAAAAAAAATACCTTCACAAAGATGAAAATGGGCTTTAAAAAAATAGCTCCAGCTAAATGCTCACCACCTCTCCTGTGCTGACCCCTGCAGTGATTCCTTTTTGACATTGGACGTCCTCAGTCTTTTAGGGCTGAGAACATCCTGTGAGTGCAGGGCATCAATGACTCACCACGGCATCCTGCACTCAGTCTAATGCTGCAGAAATCAGGGCTAACATCAACAACCCATGGAGAAGATTTGACTGTCTTTTATGTGTTGTTTTTTTTGGGGGGGGTTTTAATTTTATTTTTTATTTTGAGCAGGCAGCTGAAGCCTTTCTGGTGCGACTCTTTGAAGATTCCTCCCTCTGCTGTCTGCACGCCAAAAGGGTCACCCTCTTTGTTCAGGACATGCAGCTCGCTCGGCGGATTCGAGGGCCGCAGCAAGGACTGTGATAATGCCACCTCTTGCCTCAAGGCCTTCAAAGTCTGCCATGTTTTAAATTTGTATTTTAAAGATTAAAGTAGTTTTTCTACTTTCTTTAACACATTAGAAAACCACATTTACAGTATATTGCAGTACAGGCCTTTTAAACAACCGTGCCTTTTCTTATTAACCCTTTTCTTTTTTGTTGTTAAATCAAATTGTTCTCAAAGTTTGCATCTCATTACTGTGGATGCTTGTTATTGTAGTTTGTATCAAAACTGTTAATAAAAACTTACAACATTCTAAGTGCATTACTATAAAATCAGAGGGAGAGACACACAGAAAGAAGAAAAGAAAAAAAAAAGGGGAAAGAACAAGGGAAAGAGTCTGTAGTGGGTCATAAAATTGTGGGGAAGAAATTCCCTCAAAATATCATCATCCCATTATCTAGCCCCCTAGTAATAAGACATGAAACACCATGCATAACATAGAAGGCATCAACTAAGATAAACCCCGAGACATGTACAACGTCATCAATTAATGCATAGTTCACCTCCACACAGGGAGTCCATGTGATGCGTTCCCCAAACCACCTAGGTAGTGCTGAACCAATAAAACTCTATCAGCCGCTGCGGGGGGAGGCTGCATGTCTGTTTAGCCACTTGTCCCAAATGGTATAGAATTTGTATAGATTGCCTCTGTGTTGAAAAGCAACTTTTTCAAATGCTATAGTGCTGTTCAGTTCCCCCTCCCACCAGGGCCGGCTTTAGGCGCTCTGTGCGAGAAAGCTTTACAGTGGTCACACCCATTTCTCAAATATCTGCACCATTTAAAGACTCCCATTTTGTTAAGCCCCAAAGAAACATTAAAAAGTATGATAAAAATAAAACTTTTATTTAAAGATATTAAACTTGTAGGCACAATATTAGTATTCTTATTCAATAAAACAGAAGGTAAACAAGTGATAAACAATAAATGTCAAACTAAAATAGAGTCTATAAAAATAAAGTGTCAGGTTGTCATGCCGATCCCTTTTTTCAAGTAACTGCATCTAGAAAAGTAAAAATTAAAACAGAACACAAAACCTAGACTACATATTAAATTAATGAATTACTATTTGCCCGAATATATGAAAAATGTATTTGGGCACATAATAATTTGTTTGAGAGTGTGCGGCGGCCATGTTGGCCACTGGCGTGTTCTGCGAATACGTGCCACCATCTTGGAAGCGGGGAGCATGATGTCACATGACGCCATGCATGCTTGGTGTCAGGTGACGTCACACGCAGATATGGGCGCCGCCATCTTAGTGTACACCAAGACGGCAGCACCCAACATGTGCGGTGTTATATGACGTCATGCGCCCTACCTCCAGAACACGCCAATGGCTGAATCCAAAATAGCATAAAAACATTTTTTTTGATGAAACGAATTAAAACGTTTTTAGTTTTCATTCATGTCATCTGAAATTAATTTTTAGTTTTTGCACATGTCTAATAATACGTGTTTGTGTGCATTTTAATTTTATTTTTGTACTATTGGGGGGGCTTTGGGGAAATATTGACACCCCTTACATCTCCCTTTTAAAATAGAAAAATACATTGAGGACACAGAGACCTCAATTCTTTTTCTGCAGCCTCAGCATTTAATGAATGGGAAGCACTCAGTACAGAGGCTTCTCATTCATTCAGAAACTGATGATAGTAAAATATTTACTATCACCAGTTTATGAATAGGGAGGAGCCTTAGTACAGAGTGCTACTCCCCATTCATAAAATCATGAATGAACAGGAGGTGATGTAAATCACCTGTTCATTCATAACTGGGGACACATATTACCATGTGTCCCCAGTTATTTACAAACACTGGGGTGATCAGGCGATCACTCCAGTGTTTGCTCTGCACAGAGGATCGGTAAATGTCACAGATATTTACTGATCCTCTGCTCGGTCACGCACAGAGCCGTTGTCATGCTGAAACTGACAGGATGACAGCGGCTCCTGAAAGCTGCGGCTTCTTTTCTCCCTACCACTCGGCCATTCTGACAGCGGGCAGTGCTCCCTCCGCGCGGGCAGCGCTTCAGCACGCCCTGTGCAGCCGCACAGCTCGAACACCCCAAAGGCCGACCCTGCCTCCCACATTGCCAATGTCGGGACAACAGGGGACATCCACTTAAGTGCTATAAGTCTGCGTGCTGCAAACAGAGCCCCGAATACAGAGCAATCAGTCATATCATCCCAAAGGTTAGAGTCCAAAATGACAAGCAGGCAGGCCTTAGGGGTGCAGGGGAACCAGACCGAGAAGACAGAGGGGAATTTATCAAAAGTGGAGCAGACAAAATCTAGAGCAGTTGCCCAATGCAACCACTCAGCTTCTCTCTTCAGTTTGTTCAGTTAAGATTTGAAAATGAAAGAGAGGCTGATTGGTTGCTATGCACAGCTGCTCCAGTATTTGTCTGCCCTAGGTTTTGATAAATTCCCATATAGTTTCAGCAACATCCATCCAGTAACGGACCAATTTAGGGCATCGCCATAAGAGATGTAAGAGAGAGCCAGGGGCAATTCCACATTTGGGACATTTAGAGTCAGTTCTGAGCCCTAGTTTAGAAAGTTTGGGGTTTAATACGTCCTATGAAGAATGAACAGCTGGGTCAGTCTGTGGGTAGAGGAGAGAGAGGACACTCCCACCCCATTTAAAGCCATCTCTCACTCCTCCTCACCGAGCACACCAAAGTCCTCCTCCCATTTCCCTCCAGCTGTAAAAGGATGTTTCTTGAGAAATCCTGGCTATAAGCAAGCATACACTGTAGTTTTGATATAATTCCCTTCGTGCATGAAGAGAATAGTTTAGCCAACGGTGGGAGGTCCAATATCTGTACATTCCTGATACCAAGATGAGTGGACAGAGCACTTTGTCCTCATGTTATGAATGAACAGGCACACTCATAAAGGATTCCTGTTCATTGATAACTGGGGACACAGAAAAAGAGATTGAGGACTCTGTGTTCTCAATCTCTTTTTCTATTTTAAACACATGGGCTGCACTCATTGGGGTGGAGGGATTTATAAAAGGACAATTTCACTAAAGGTGAAGTTGTCTTTTTCACATTGAATTACATTGTTGACATGTTTTTGTAATATGAGTTTATAGTATTTGCTATATGTTTTATTAGGCCTTTTACATCTTATAATAGATTATTGCTAAGCTTATTGCGTAGACCAGCCTTTCTCAACTGTCGTGCTTTCTGGCTTCAGCTCCTAATGTGAAGAGGGAACTCTTATATGAAAGGGGTGCTCTGATGTAAAGGGGAGATTATGATGTGAAGGAGAGTGGGCTACTCATATGAAGAAGGTGGCTGATGTCAGGGGAAGCTTCTGATGTGAAGGGGGGCTTTTGATGCAAATGGGGGGACTCTGATGTGAAAGAGTGTGACTCTGATATGAAAGGAGGGGACTCTGATGTAAAGGTTGGCCCCTAGTGTGAGGAGGGACTCTGATGGTAAAGGAGGGGGCTCCAAATATAAAGGGGTCTCCTAATGTAAAGGGGACCTCTGAACAGGGGCTCCTGATTTGAAAGGGGAGACTTCGATGTGAAGGGGGAACCCCACTTTTTGTGTTTTTGCATTGGGTCCCCCTTAAAATCCATTACATTTTAGATTTGTTGCCTCGAGATTTTGCATACTTTTATAGAGTACCGTGACTGAAAAAGGGTTATAAGATGCTGGTGTAGACCCTAAATAAAATACTTTGGTATGGCCTAAAGTGCTTTATCCACAAACCAGCATCAATAATCTTCTGCAAATGTATATGTGACTAAAAATGTTTTATTCCCAATATGCATTCAGAAAGAACATTTATACTGGCACATACAGTAAACCCATTCCACAAACTTTATTGAAAGCAAATTTCAAAACTGTACTTACATTGCTTAGTGTACATAGCAATGCACATACATACAAATCAAATGGTGCATAAGCCAGTGGCTATCTCATCCAATGGATTCAGACGATGCTTTCACTATTCCACTACTGAGAAATTGCCCGCTTGTGTATTGTATTAATGTGTGCTTTGTGTCGATATTTACACTCTTGTAGGTTGCATCAGAGGTACAGTATATGTAATCACTGATATATCTGGTTTTTGTGTCACATTTATCATCTGTTGTTAATCTGTTTATTTATTTTCTGTGTCAGCACATTAGAATTTAGCTTTAAGTACTTGTTTTCTGCATACACTGCACTATAATTTATATAATTTTTGAAGGTTAGATATTCAATTAGGTGTGAGCAGCTTTAGAGAGTTATTTATAGACAGTTTATATTTTTAATTTTTGCAGAAGGTTTTTTGTTTTTTTACTTTTTTCTTTGATAGAAGAGTTATTCATTATTTTCCATACCTGTACTTGTAGAAAGGGATTAAGCTGGGCCTACAATGCTCACATTCTGTCCAAGTCCCGCTGATTTCAGATTCAAGTTGTGGGTTACCATTGTTCTATTGTCGAAGAAGCCGGTCCAAAAATTGTTAGCAAAACAGTGACTGCAACCAATCAGCTGCAGTCTTTTCAGGTATTCTGACAGCGGCACACACCAGTTGTCATAAAACAATAGCCAGGAGCAGAGGCGTAACTAGAAACCTCACGGCCCAAAAAACCCCCTCTGCACCCCCACCTTCCCCCACACTGGCCTTACCTGACTCCTGCAGCAGGCAGAGCTGCTTCATCTTTGGTGGACAGGGGACGGGGCTTAGTGGAGAGGGTCCGTCCTCTCCCAACAGAAGAATGTGTTGCTTGGCGGTACCTGCTGTGTCAGAGCCCGCCAGGCAGCCAAGTGACAGGCGCAGCCCCCTCTCCTTCCCCGCGCAGAGCGGCGGGGGATGCAGAGCGGCGGGGGATGCAGAGCGGCGGGGCAGGGAGCGGCACTAACCGGAAGGGGGACAGCCTGAGGAAGCTTTGTGCCCTCTGCATCCTCTCTGGGCCCCCCTCAACAGCCGGAACGCCAGGGCCCGGTTGCAATTGCAACCGCTACGACCCTGGTAGTTCCGCCAGTGGCCAGGAGAGAAG